CAAAGGTCAACAAATTACTGAGGTGCCACACGTTCAGTCTCTTGCCCACTACTGAACTTTCTTTATTTCCAGGTATCTATCTAACCAACATCCTGAAGACAGAGGAAGGTAACCCGGACTTCCTCAAGCGTCACGGCAAGGAACTGATCAACTTCAGCAAGAGGAGGAAAGTGGCTGAGATCACAGGAGAGATCCAGCAGTATCAGAACCAGCCATACTGTCTGAAGGTGGAGCATGACATCAGGGTGAGCGCTCACTCACATCATGGGCTTTTAGCAGTGCAACAATACACAGATCGTGATGTCAAACCTCTTTTTTTTTTTGTCTTGCAGAGGTTCTTTGAGAACCTGAACCCAATGGGCAACAGGAGTGAGAAGGAGTTTTCAGACTACCTATTTAAAATGTCTATGGACATTGAGCCACGGAACTGCAGGCAGGCTCCCCGATTTGTAAGTGTTTTGATCAGAGGGTTGTCACTGGGGCGAGGATGTTGTTGCAGCAACATTTGGTGCCACTTTAGTCCAGTTCTTGTTTTAGTCACATCTACACGTTTACTGCAGATAACAGTAAAAACAATTTGCTTCGTAGGTGAAACGTTAGGATGCTGCTGCATCTCAAGCAGCATAAGCCACACATTTTTCATTTAACTAAGGTCCCAGCTCAAGACGTCAAGCTCTGTGTTGTGTACATCAGCTCAGATTCTCTTGAAGTCAAAAGGTGTCATCTTGTCAGTTTTTAGTGTTTGCATAAAATAAATATCTTGAAAACCAATCAGCTCTTTAAAAGGTCGTATTTGGGTTCATTACCTCAGAATCCATAAAAAATTAGCACATTTCAATTTGGAAGCAGAAAACTTTTTTAAAATTGTAGACCAGGTATTTAGAGGTAAAGAGACATTTGAATCCTGTAGGTTTTCAGTGGATGCCAAGTTCTTTCTCATTGTACTGGTGTTACATTTCTTTCTTCTCCCACAGCCCAGGAAGACCTTGTACAACCTGAAATCTCCAGGGATCCGGCCTGTGCGAACATCTACCTCTGGCACTATGAAGGGCCACCCCGTCCCCTTGGAGAGGGAGCCCCCACATAAGATCACCTTCCGGAGCATCGCTGAGACCGAGCCAGAGACGCCAGCGTCGGCCTCTGTGCCCACCTCTCCGAACACGCCGACCCCGCCACAGTCCGCCTGCTCCGACCTCAGTTCAGTCTTCATGGATCACGACCTCAGCAGCTCCTATGGCGGTGAGCTCAGCTGATGCTCGAAGTGTTCGAAATGTCAGGGAATGTTTTTACATGTGTATTCACGACTGGGAAACTTCATTAGTTTCTTAGTATCTCTCCAGAAACCTGCAGATATCAAAGTATTACATGACTTTTAACTCAGTATTAGAGGACTGCACATGCATAGTTCTTTACCCCAGCTGTATTTTAGTGGGGGTTTTAATGCATTGTTGGGGCCTTTTATGGCTTAATAAGATGTAAATGTGGTTTAATGGACAGAATTATTTCAAAGCCACTGATTTTCATCTTTCACGGTACAATTAACGGTACATTTTCTTGTGAGATTAGATCTTTATCTTCTGTGTTTGAATCTTACAGGTAGTAACTCCATATTTGCTCCGGTTCTTCTGCCGCCATCAAGTGAGTGTGGAGTTTATTTTTGTAGCGTGTTCCTGATTGCTTTCTGTTTTACCGCAGTCTGTCCATCAATATTATGAGGCCCAGACTTACTTAACAGTAATTTGTTGTCTGCAAGCTGTAAATGTTGAACAGGCTGTGTTTTGACGTCTTATACACAGTGCTTTCTCTGTTTTTTCCCCAGAGTTTCAGTCTGTCTCTTGCGGCAGCCTCCACCAGCTCGGAGAGGATCTGCTGAAGCCACCGCCTCTACCGCCACGGAGGAAAGAGACCTTGCCTGATGCTAAAGTAAGAGCTGGGCATCAGTTCTTTACAGTTACACCCATAATTACAACAACTAACCTCCGTTCCATTGTGTTCAGCAAACCAGAATTTGTGGTAGGGCCAAATTCAGTACCAAAATTAACATGTACTGTAAACCTGTCCTAAAGTACTGTGGAGTACAGTGTTTACTTTAGGTTTGTGTGTTGGAATTTAAAATATATAGGTCATTTGTCCACAGGGGGCTTAATGAGTAAAGGACAGGTCTAGACGTGTGTGCTGTAAACCTGGTTAGAATGAAACTTGATAAAAAGTAGACATTTGTACAGGGGTACATCTGTTAATATCTTGGGACAGTGTATCTTATGACCCCTTGTGGGGTCACAGCCCCTATGTTGAGATCTAGAGCTCTGGATTATATCCTGACCTGCACTGTGCAAAGAAAGGTGACATGTTTAGTGACACATGAATCTTGTTTTGATAGTCCTGATGTTTGTGTCTATGTTTCAGCTGAGCTCCAGGTCCGACAATCCTCCTGCCATCCCTCCCCGGCTGCCCCCTCCTTTTCCCAGGAACCAGCCTCGACCGCC